TTACGCCGTAACAACATTGGTTTCTCCAAACGATCAGCAATAATCTAGTAAAATCAATAACCTTGTATACTGAATAAATTAAAATGAAAGAAATTTATTTATATCACATTAAAGTAATTATACCCTTATTTGAGTTTGATAAAAGGTGCTTAAAAAATATTTCCTCAATGAAAACATACCGTCGAGAGTGGTAATGCTGCATATGGTACGCCAACGATATAATCATACTTTAAATTCTTCGCTTCTATCATGTTGCACATACAATTCGCTGTCAAGCTCTAGAATTCGATCAATTCCATTCAATATTACAGTGTCATGACTTTATATATATATAAACACATATCTCACTATATAATTCAAACATGCCGAAATTCAATTGATCTGATTTCTTCAACTGTTTAAACTGATCTGACTCATGGATTTGCATCTAATATGACTTCAGACATTTGTTAAAGTATAACGTTACATTTGACCTATAAATCTGCCTTATCTTATCACGTAAAGCAAACAATTTAAGTGAAAAATCTGATAAATGAAAATCTTTTTCCAATAAATGAAATCTAAAGTGGGTGAAATTTCCTAGAGCAAATTATTTACTTGATGCATTGATGATGTATGCTATAAGGTACAATGGAAGTAACCTTATGTCATAAATATGACATTATTAACTATATTAAAGGAAAAAATTTCAACCAAAAACTTACGAAAACACTGGGTGACGTAAAGAGTAGACGTAAATCGATATAGATTGGTGAACTTTGACCACTTTGTAACGTATAATTGCCCAACTTAAATACTCCCGTGCTATTCAGCTCCTTCAGTAGTAACCGCTCGTTGATCATATCGCCAGCACCTGACATTTTCCTTTCGACCAGCGCTTCCACAAAATAAATCCTCTTTCGAGAAAATCTTACCAATATTATATTGCTCCTTGCTTTTTGGAACTTACAACTTCTGTTAAAAAAAAAAGAAACGAAACAGATAATATACAAACATTCTTACATAAATTCTTGTCGTATAGAAGTCAGATCCTATGCACAAATGTAATTAATGTAAAATATCACAAATAAAAATTAATACACACACGAGAAATTCATTTCGTGGAATGGATTTGTTGAAAGAACTCCTAAATTTCAAAAATCATTAGCTAAAAGTAATAAAATAACTTAATGAAACATAAAACAAATTACAAAATAGTCAACTAAAAGATTATTTCTAAACAAAACTATAAAATAATTAACTAAAGAATTATTCCCATTACTTAAATAATTTCTCCATAAATAAAAAAAAAAGAAAAAAGAAAAAAGTTTGAGAAAAGTGAGATGAAATTAAAACAACATGATCATATAATACTTTTATAAATAGTTGCCATCTATCATGTGATTTGAAAATTTTTGAAATTGATTTATGGAACAATGAATCATCAAATGTTAGTTACACTTACGGGTCATGTAAATAAACAAACAAATATAATATACTTTTATTATTTAATATGCAGCTAAGTAAACTTTTATTGTAGTCTCAAATTAAAGAGGAAATTTCTTTGTAGTAAACAAAAAATTTTCCCACCTTTTTTGTTATTGTTTTTATCATCATAACTACTTACTACTATATCATTATTACTATTATTATCATCATTTTTATTACTATTAATTAGTTAATTAATTACTATTATTGTATTTAAAGTTATTTCAAAAAAGGGAAAAAAGGAAAAATTGCGCATATATACAGTACGAAGAGAGAGAGAAAGGGAGAGAGAGAGAGAGAGAGAGAGAGAAAGCGATTGGTTTTGTCATCATTAGAGCAATGAGGAAAAGAAAATCAATTAATTTAGGGACATTATGGGCAGTGCTTTTTTTTTTTTTTGTAAATTGCACCGTTTAAAGGTGTATAAATGCATTTAAAAAAGTGATGACAATAGTAGCAGTATTTCGTTTTACATTTTAGCTTTTTTCATATAAAACAAAAATGAATAGTATCAAAATTGATTCTTTAGCATTACAATTTTAGCAAATAATTGAAAATTGTGCAATATATGAAAAAATATTTGTGAAGAAAACAAAAAAAAAATTTTTTTTTTGACATTTAAATAAATACAATTTTTTGTGTAAAATTATTATTTTATTTCCTTTTTTGGAACTATAACACAACAATTTTTATTCTTTTTTTTTTTTTTATGTTAAAAATAAACTTATTATTGAAATTTGTATGACTAATCTGTAATTGATATCATTAGTTAGAACAAATGAAAAAAGTGATATAATTTTGTTGTACAAAAAAAAAAGGGAAAAAGATTTTTTTTTTTTCTTTTAGGGATAATATTTGCATATAGCAATTCATTGAATTGTTAAAGAATAATAAAGGGAAAAAGCATCGGAATGTACATTTCATTGTTCAGTGAATTCTTAACAACTGGTAGGTTTTAATTTTGGACGATGCATTCTGCATTCACATTCTATGCTATTCTATTCTATGAGTCAAAATGAGATCAACATGTCATGCTATCATTTATTTCATCTTAGTTCAAAAGCTATTCATAATGAACTTTTACAAAATAGATAAAGTTTACGTTAGTTGATATGAATTACATTCCAATATTTAAATTATAAAGGGTTAAAATAAAGATACTAAAATTATTTAGTATTCAATAGAAATGGAGGTAGTATACCGTTATGGTGAACAAATTGAAACTACTGTTGAAACAATGCGACGTCGATGTCTTGCGGTTGTAGCATCTTTTTTGAAATTAATTTGTAAAACTTCATTAAAATTTATGAAAGTTTTCATCTAGCTTTTTGCATTATTGACAACTATTAACACTTTAGCAGAAGCATATTTATGAGATAAATTGTTTAAATATAGTTATTTATCTACAGACATTGTTGCTACAAAAACTATGGTCATAATTTACTTGTCAGAAATTCAGCTTCCAAATATGACGAAAATTTTGAAGCACATTTTAGTAATATTTCCAGATATATGATGGGACAATAAATTTGGGACAGAAAATAATACGAACATCAGAAAAATTACGTGAATACGCAGAGCCAATTATTTATGAAATTTCCGAGAGTGTTTGTCTAGGGATTTTCTTTCTTTTCTAAATAGCATGAATAAGCTAATTTTTACTACCAAGCTATCATCTAAAAACTAGAGTTTAAATTTCAATAATTTTGTAGAGTTACTTTTAAAATGGATTTACTTCTACTTTAAGATAAAATACTGCATTAAAATTTTACCACTTAATCTTAACATACAAACTCTACAAGAATTTTCGAAATGCCTTTGGTTGGACTTTAAGAAAATTTCCTATTTCATTTAGTATCCCAAAACTTTCCCAAAAAATCTACAAAGGTTTCTGCAGATACAAACTGCAGTACACGATTTGAGCCCACTGGATGCAAGCGATAGAGAATTCCGCAACAACTTACTGGAATTGTACTTGAGCTGCTCCGTCCTTTCAATTGGAATCAGTGCAGGTATTTAGTGAAATGTTAACTATTCTGGAGATAGAACATATTTAACCAACCTTTTTATTTAATCACAATAGTAAGAATTTGATATGACTACGGATTCTGAAGGAACAATTCCAGGAGAAATTTCTGGTTCACTTGTACTAGGAATGCTATACCGAAAAATATTTGACTGGTGGTGGGAAGTATTACTGGTAATCTTATTGCCATGTTATGTTTATCTTACATTTAGAAAAAATGCAGGTAATTTTTTGAAATTCAAACTTATACTTAAATTCTGGAATTTCGAAAAAATAAATATTAAATAATCAAATCTAGTTTTAAAAAAAGGAATCATCTAAATCGAATAATGAATAGATTGCATCTGAACAATAAAAGAAATAAAAATCAAATTTGACATAATCAGTTGACACTAACGAATAAAGAACTCCTTAATAATGACGATTCTACACTGCAGCATTGGACGAAACTGAACGACGTGTCAACTTATTCGGCCTAGGTCTCGCAATCGGTTCGTGTATAGGACATATGATGGGATATCGACTGATTTCAACCCTTCCATCAGTTAATTTCATCCAACCACTCATCCTAGCGCTGATGGTAAATCTGAAAAAAAAAAAAAAAAACTCATCTAAATGAATTTTAATCTATTTGAAATCTGTCGAAATTATTCGACAATATGAACATAAACTAACATAAAATAAAATCTTAATAGAATTTATGAATTCGTGGCAGGTGGATCCAGAACTTTCTCCACCAACCGTATATTCACAACGGTTAAATTTGCTAGCCATAGGCGCAGGTGCAGGTATCGCCGTAGCTACTTTTCTCGCCATGATCCATGGCCTGTCATTCTGTATTATTTTGTCAATTGCTATCCACGCTGCATTCCTCGCCAGTCATTTTCAGGTATATTTATTCAAAATACTGCTCACATCCTCTTAAAAGATCAGCTAAGTCGTAATGTGTAAATAGCAATCTTACCTGGCCGTAAGTAATGGGAAAGGTAATAGAAGTCTACTTATATTTCAGTAAAAATTAGCCTTCATCAAAATGTAATTTACGTTTATATAATGCCAAGCCGACGAAATCTTCAATTATACGAGCAATTCTAGGGATATACAAAAAATAGTCTTCTTTTATTAGCTGTGTATATATGCTTTAGCAAATTTATAGGTCGTATTGTATGCGATGAAAAACAAATCTTATGGGGTTGGAGAAGCTCAATTGTGCTACGTGCTCGGATCGATAATTAGCCAAATCCCGCTAGCAATAGTATTCGGTACCAGCAATGCCGGCTCTAATTGAAATAACTGAAACTTAATTCACTGAAATAAAAGATAATTCTTCCATGTAAACTTTTTATTATATAATCGTTACAATGAAAAAATTAAAACAATCACTTTGTAATAACATCGAAATAATATAAATCATTACTGCCCAATTACTCTGTCATTCAATACAACGTGTACATATAAGTAAAAGATACAATCATTAAATGAAAACTTTGAATGATTCCATAAACGACTAATCATTTTCGAAGTATGCATCCTCCAAATCTCGATCACACATCAGTTCATACTCTTTTGTCATCACGTTATCAATAACAGAGTAATCATAAAATTCGGTATCATCACCTATAACTTCGTTATGAATAATTTTTATTTTCAGCTAAAACTAAAATTGCAAACTTTGACAGTCGTAAAGTTTAAAAATTATAGTGAATCATTCAGATCTGCTAAAAAGCAAAATGACTAAATTTGAGTAAACTTTCCAATTTTAGTTTTAAAATCAATATACCAGTAAAAAAAAAAAAAACCTCTTAAGAACCGTTGTTCCATATGGTCGATGAAGTCTGCTCTCAGTTGTTCCTGATCATGATCTTCATCGGAAGATTCCGAAATTATCTCCTCTTCCGTTTTACGGCTGGAAGTTGGCTCATTATCATTAGCAACTTGCTCAGAGCCGTCTTCAGACTTCGTTTCATCGTTGGCACTTTCCATCTCGTCACAAAATCGGCTCCTTGCGTGTTGCACTAAGTCACCAAATTTCGAAACATTCTCCCTATCATACTACAAAAATTACAGTTGCGTATGTAATTTGGGAAGGAGTCTTAGTTTACAGTTTCTAATGATCATACAATTAATTCCGAACCTTCGACTGTAATTGAACAATTAATTTCTAGCTTCCTACTGTAACTAATTAAGGGTTAGAAAACTAGTTTTTATATTATTTTTTTTCCTTCTCACATCCATTAACGAACTGTATTTTCATTTTCACTTATCAATCATTCCCTACCAATTCATCTTGGGCTGTCGGAACTTTTCTTTCATCAATAATTGAGTAAACAAATTTATTAAAGGCTGGATTGAAGAAATGATAGATACTGATAGAAGAAGCGATAGAAACCATGGCTCTTTACCTTTAAAAACTCATTCCATTCATTTAAATGAGCATTTCGTCGATTTGAAATGATCTGGGAATCTTCAAATTGCATAAAAACACCAGAAAGAGAATCATTTTCAATAGTTGGTCTAAGATAGAGTTGTTCCTCTTCTGGCAAAAATCTACCAATCATTTTATCAAACAGTAGTGGTTCGCGTTCTCGCATTTTCTTATCCGAAAAATAATCAGTTTCTCTTTTTAATCGCATTAATTCCGCATAGCGCTGATTTCGAAGTCTTATATTCTATAAAGATACAAAATACAGAAGAGATGGACAAAATAAGACCGTATTATTATTTGTTTATAGATATCGAAAATAACGAGACTAAAAGTGAGACATGAATTCAATAAAAATTAGAATAGAGATCTTGAATCTATACAAATCATAAAGTTGAAATGAAAATACCTCCCGCTTCTTGATATCCCTATCTTTACATCTTTCCATAACTGCTTTTGCATAAAACTGAATTTCGTAATCATTTTGATCAAAACACTCGCAATCTTCCACTGCCAGATATTTGTGATAACGTCTCATGAATAAGTGTGAATTTGTCGCATATAAATTTTCCAACAATTCTCTGTAACTCGTTCCATTATTTACACCTGACAAATTAAAACAAGCAATAATTGTTACTGCCATGTAAGACAAGTTACAAACTTTGTGCATGTTCCTATGTTAATATGTCAATACGTCTTAATATATTTGCTTCTTCATATGTATTAACAGCTACAATTATCAATTATTTTGAAACATTAAAAAAAGGCATTCTTTGATTCAAAACCTTTTTTCCTGCATCGTTAAGTCGGGTGTATCACGTTGCTCTGAACGATAAAAGATATCATCATGCGATACGATTCTGTCAATCATTCTAGTCAAACTTGGTGTTATTCTCACTTAAAATGTAAATAATAATACAACTTTACAAAAATTCCGCTCAAATTTTTTAAATTTAAATTTAAATTATGGAATTAAAGCGTAATGCATTATGCTAGTTAGATTCACGTCATATCTACTGATCTCTTGTTACAATGGGAAATAGAATGGAAAATAGACAAAAAACTTACAATCCTTCAATTTTCCTGTAATACCCATTGTTTTGGCGTAAAATACGTAATGTTAGCGTGAATAAACTTACGCGAATTTGCCAGGAAAGAATCAGGAAAAAGGATACAACATGTGAAGGAGAGAAAGAGACAGAAAACTATGAAAATTCCATTGAGAAAATGGAGAAAAGAGAAGTGAAAGAAATTTCACTGAAGCGGTTTGATTCTTCAATGTAGCGTACCGATATGGACAATGTTATGCTACAAATTTTACAAAACGTTTAGGGTGTTGTTGCCAGTGGTCTATTAGGTGGCGTTTGTGTTCCGTCATTTGTAGGACTTTTGTGTTAATTAAGGATGAAAGCGTTAAGCGATGGATTGGCTTACTAATTTACCTAATTTCCTTCTAAACTTACATTTAAGTTCTTCTGAATACTGAGCTATCCAAATAGCCATTATGCATGAACAAAGTGTTTGACATTACTATAAAGCCTTATATGTATTTCTGGGTGATTAGCCGTAGGTATTAGTCAAAAGTCAGTCGACTTTTTTTTTTCGATCTTTTCCAATTCAAAGATTTCTGTTTTCTATCACTTTAACTTCATGAAATGGAAATATTAATTTTCATCCAATTAGGAAGAACTGCTCTGATTTAAATTGCTAGTTGAGCAGCGATGATTGGAAATATTTTAATTTTTAATCAGGCATCCAATACATTTATTAATGCATGAATATGATGCATTTGTTAATTCTGGTCTCGCTTCTTATATCGAGGACTTTGTAAGGGTGTCTTTTATCATTTTACGTGATTGCTTTATTATTATCTTTGAAATAATAAGGTTATAAAGTCTTGGGTCACATACGTTTATGTGTTGACTTTTTTGCGTGTTCAACTAAAATTTTGCTATTGAATCGAATAACATTCAAAAATTAAGGAGTTGTGGAACATGCCTACGAAGTCAAAAGGCGAAACGGTAAGTGCTTTTAAGGCATATAGTTTTGTTTAGTTCCTTGAGAATCTTGAGGTAACTGATTGCTGATGAACTTATTTTCTTTCTTTCTTTTTCGGTTTTCTTTTTTCCTGTATCAGGAATAATTCTGTTACAGTTGAGGGAATTCCTCGTGGTTGGACGTAAGTTGCCGTCTGCAAAAGAGTTGAATCCACCAATTTATAAGATGCAAATCTTTGCATCAAACCATGTGATTGCAAAGTCTCGGTTTTGGTATTTTACAAGTATGTTGCGACGAGTTAAGAAGGCGAATGGAGAAATTCTTGAATGCAAAGAAGTAAGTCTATAACATATGCTCATTTTTTCCAAGAAACCCGCAGTTCCTTTTACATAGCTCAATTTATTGTTTGTCAACAATTGATAATTGATGAGATTTTCCATCCATGACTTTGGTGTCTGAATTCATTTGTCGTTAGGAAATTAGAGACAGATTCCTTGTTATATAGATTGATATTTAATTGAAATTCGTGGACATAGTCTGCGGTTCGATACTCATTTTATCATTAACTGGTGGACAACAAGGTTTACGCAGTTCTGTCTTTTCCTTATAGTGTGATTCTAACTTCAGAGTAATATTACAAAATTAGCGTTTTCACGAAAATTGGACTGATGTACTATAATACTCTTCTTTACAGTTACATCTTATAGGTTTTTGAAAAGAAACCTGGATACGTCAAAAATTATGGCATCTGGCTTCGGTACGATTCGCGCACTAATCATCACAATATGTATCGTGAGTACCGAGACAATACTGTTGCTGGAGCTGTAACACAATGTTATCGGGATATGGGTGCCCGTCATCGGGCACAGGCTGATCGAATTCAGGTTTTTATCTGGTTAACTTTGAGAAAGCAAATCATTTAATTCGTTTTTATGCATTGTAATTAATAACTTTTAATAAATAATAGATAAAAAAATGGGGTGGTAAAGTAGCGAGCTTTGACTCTTCATTCATTTCGATATATTTTCTGTATTTCAAAAGCTATTTCCACTTGTATCTTGAAATTAAGATCGCGAGTATTTCTATATATTTGTAGATCATCAAAGTGCAAGTGATTAAAGCTTCTGATTGTAAGCGTGCGGCTATTAAACAATTTCACAATTCGAAGATTTGTTTCCCACTACCACATCGCATTGCAAAGAGAAGAAATGCTGCTATCTTCACTACTCGTCGTCCAAGAACACATTTCTCATAAATCATTGTTTTGTTATTGGTTATAAGAATAAAGGAGTTTTAAACTTGGGGCATACAAAAATATTTGAAATAAAGCTTGTTCAAAATATATCTGTTTAATATCTCTGTACAAATTTTTGAGAATGGCTTGGTGATACAAACTGGTTGATATTGAAGCATAGTGAAGTGGTGATTCAATTTTTTGGTGAAAGGGAGGAAGGGAAGTTGTGTGGATAGAAATATAGTACTTCACTGGTATTGTGAAATGTTGTCGCAGGTGTGTCTAAGGTTTTAAATGAAACTTCAAATTCCGTACTATGCAAGGTTAGATTGTCGACATTGATGATAAGTTGTCTGATGTATTCTGAAATTGCAATTTTAGATTTAAGTGGGATGGATTGCTTTGTTGGCGCGTCAACAGGTGCTTTGAAAGGTAAGTTAAAGTGTTCCAAATTAGAAGTGGCGGTGCAAGATTTTAATTTGGAGTCCGTTGCGCAAGTTTTTAGTAGAAGTTCGCAAGGATGATATATGTAAGAAATACTGTTGTGATTTGTTTGACTATAAAGTGGTAGAAATGTATGAAGTGCTGTAGTACATATTTTTTTAAAAGGTTTTCATGAGACGACAGATTACGACTGGTATAGTAGATACATTGTGCTGAAGCTAGTTTCAGGTATTTCTTTCAAGGATAGCGCTTTCAGTAATGTGAACCAGATTACTTCTTTGAATCCGAAGCAAGATGAAATAACTTGTATGAGCTGGGCGAATGAAGATCAAGTAAGGATTATTTTTACGGTATTTAGTTTCATTTTTTAAAAGATATCTCTGTTTAAGTTGTGAAAAAATTTTTGTATTATGATGCTAGAATTAATTTGTTTTTAGACGGAATTGTTAACAGTCCAAATGGATAAGCAGCTGAGATTGCTTGATACAACTTCGAATGAATACACGACACTCTTTTCTTTGGGTAGTGGCAGTGGTGCAGTTAAGGGAATCAAAAGGACTGCAGTGTATGTTATTTATAGCTATTAATTATCTTCAAAGGAAATCGAAAATAACTATCAAGATTACATCATAGAAGATTGTGCATAGAAAGCTATAAGTTTTTTCCTAGAAGGTTATTCGAAGGTGGTTATTCGAAGGTAGTGGTTCTGTCCTGAAAGTATTCTTCAGAAAGGCTTTGCGATAATCCTACTGAAATTTCACTAAGAAAAATACTTAGATTCAAAATGACTACTTGTTTAGATCATTGTGGGCAGGTATTCGTTCTACCGCACATTTTAGACTGATGTGAGAAGATTGGCAGTTTTAATTTCAGAACTTCGGTTTTTACATAGTTTTTCAGAGTAGTAGAATTGAAAATTATTTTTGCAGAGGAACATATGTATCAGCAGTTGAGTCTGGTGAACTTTCTGTCTCTTTACCATCTGGAGAAATAGTTAAGGAGTTGAACGCAGGAAATAACCTAGTCGTGATGGTACCCAATTGTGAGCAAGAAGGGCATTACGCAACCGGTGGCAAAGAGAATCCTTTAAAAATATGGGATATTGAGAAAGGCGAAAAAATTTTTACTGCTAAAAATGTACGACCAGATGAACTGCAGCTTAGAGTACCAATATGGGTTAATGATATACGATTTATACCAAAATCGCAAAACATTGTAACAGTTACTGGTAAACATCAGGTAAGCAATGGTTTGCTTTTTCTGAGTTTTTAGAAATTATTTAAGCGTCAGTTACATTTGTTATTAAAGTTTTAAGTTTTTTTTAGTAGTGACATCAACTTGTTGCTAAATGATATTGGCTAAGAGGTGATGATATTTAGGGAAACTGATATATTTGTCTAATAAGTTCCAAAAGAGTTAACTAGAATTCAAATCGATAGTTAATGAATATTCACGATATTAGATCAAAGTATAAGTGGTAATTTGTTAGCTATTGTCATAAAATATTAAACATGTGTGTCGTATGGTTTTATGTCTGAAAAATGGTTGTTGTGGTGAAATACAGTTGAGTTCTTTTCATCAGAAAATTCGGTCATTTAGATTGGAAAGTGATCAGAGTTGTATGAAGTAACTTGTAATAATTTGGTTCTTGTAGTCCTGAATTGTAGATAAGACTTTACGATCCTCGCACACAACGGAGACCGGTAAAGGAGATGATGTGGGCAGAGGAACCACTGACTGCAATGTCTTTGTGTCGAAACGAAATGCATATAGTTGCTGGCAATACTCGTGGTGATATAGGATTATTTGATTTACGAAACAAAAGTAACATTCATCACCTTGTATTAATCACGAAAAGCATGAACCGTAGAAGAGTTAAAAAAAAATGAAAATTCCAGTTAGACATTTTTGATGAGAACAACGTCGTTTTACAAATAAAATATCCATGACGGAAGCAAATTTGTGATAATTTTTTTTTTTTTTTTTTTAAATTAATCAGTGAGGTTTTTTTCAGTGCATATGGTGTGTAAATATAAGGGTTGTGCTGGTTCGATCAGTGGAATTGATGCGCATCAATCAGCTGAATATATCGCCTCTTGTTCCATTGATCGATTTGTAAGACTGCATGAATTGAATTCAAAAAAACTTGTTAAAAAGGTCATTACTTGCAAATCTTCAACAGTTTTCCGGTATTTGAATCATGATAGCAGTATTGTAGCATAAATTTATTATCATAACTTAAGATTCAAAATTGCTATTTAATTTTTTTTGTCGTTTTTATTCGGAGATCCCTTTCTTATTTATAATCAGTACTTTTTAGGTTTACTGTAAAGCTCGTTTGAATCGAATTTTACTGCGTGATAAACTTTCCATCCTTAATAATGAGGATGAAAGCAAGCAGGAAATGGAAAATTATGATG